TCGCTTGAGGATGGCTTTGACCTTTTCGGCATATTGGCAACTACATAATTAAGATGAATCAAATAAATTTAGATTCAATAAAATTAAATTACACATAAATACTCATAAGAGTTATAAAATAAATAAAACTGCAATACATACGGTCTATACTTCAAAAATAACTTATAGAAATTACTTAGCACAGAATCAATCAAATAGTCACGAAAATATTCATTTGAGTTTTACTTCCTAGAAAATTAAGCAAGGTAGTCAAGCCACATATCCGTTGCTATGTGATCTCGAATAAACTCTCCTTTCTTAAACTCCTCATTACTTTCCTTGCTATTTGAAGGTTCTTCAAGCACATTTGTATCGTTAATAAGCTCTGCATCAACCTCCGCAAGTAACCAATCATCTGGATCTACACCTCTTAAGTAGTTGTGCAAAATACAACATGCAAATATAATAAGTTTTTGGGTGTCAACACCATATGATGGCTCTGTAGAACTAGCAATTATCGGAAATCTCTTTTTAAGAACTCCAAATGCTCATTCAATAGCATTACGCAAAGATGCATGTCGCAGATTAAATAATTCACGAGAATTTTGAGGTGGATTTCTTGAGTACTCTTTCAAGTGATATCGTTCCCCCCTATATGGCGTAATAAGTCTACTTCTCAACATGAATCCAGCATCAACAAGGTAATATTTTCCTAAAGATAAAAAGATAAAAGTCTTAACTATTTATTCATCACATAACTTATATACAATTAGATAAATATTATGTAATATTTACCTTCTGGAATTCTTAGTGGGTCTTGTTTGTTTAGTGCTTCTTTCATGATTCTTGAATCAGATGTCGTCCCTTCCCGCCCAGCTAAAACATATGTGAATTTTAAATCAAAGGTACATGCAGCCAAGACATTTTGTGTTGGATAATCTTTCCTCCCACGATATTTAGGTGCTTCACTTTGTGAAACTTTAACACGTATGTGTGTTCCATCAATTGCACCAATACAATCCTGACATTATGTTCATGATTTAAAATGCAAGCAATCTTGGCATTAGTTAAAACTTAAATAAAAATTATAATTGTGTTCACCTTAAAGTATCGGTAGAATCTCTGACTGCTGGCAATTTCAGAAAGAATTTGGAAGCCATCGGGTTGTTTAATAAATTTTTCATATAACCCCAAGATAGCTCTCAAGACAGTATGGAAATGACGACTGACTGATTCACCAGATCGACGAAAGAAG